TAAAGGGGTTCTAAACCCTCCGTTTTTTTGCCGATATCTACTGCTAGCAAGCAGTAGATATATGCAAAATGTTTTTTTTAAACGCTTTAACAGCGTTTTAAACTTACCCCGTTTTTGCCGCGTGCTCCCGCCCAAGAATCCGAAACTGCTCGGGCGGCCGCAAAGCATCTTGGGGTGGACGCATGCGCAGTTCGGATTTTTGGCCGGGAGACGAGCAGAGACACAAGGTAAGTCTATGGACAGCGTGCATCCACATGCAGACACCGTGGGACAGGAAGTGCCAGCAAGCACAGAGGAGTCAGCGCTGGATCGGAGAGCCGCCGTCCCACTGGAGGGACAGATGAAAACATCAGGAAAGAAGAAGATCGGATTAAGAGATATCATTAAAGGTAAGTGCTGACATTAACATTGAGGGGAGGGAATTATTTTTTGTGGCCCTAGAATTATTGCTCTCATTGCGACGTTCGCGGCGATATGTAACACGTGCAGCATAATTGGAGTAATCGTCGTTTGTGTGTGTAGGCGCCACTAACGCATTTTTTGCGCATCTATGTGGGGGTGGGGGACTTTAAATCATTTTTGTGGGTTTTTTTTGTTGTTTTGTGTGTACATTTTTATTTATTTTGTGAGCATGGTCTGCAAGACCCCTAATGTCACCTAGGGACCCCCAGAGAAGCTGTGCACAGATCTGCTTCATCAGCTTCTCTCCGGTTTCTGTATAGAGGAATGCGGAAGTGATGTAGTATACATCACTTCCTGCATTCAGAGACCGGGAGGAGAGCGGGTGCACAGAGGGGCCACATCGCCCGGCATGGATGGACGCCCGGGATCGCGGGGACGGCGGCGGGGACAGCGACCAGAGGTAAGGAGAGGAGGGGGGGCGCACCCTCACTTGAATCATACAAGCGATCAGGCGTCTTTACAGACGCCGGACCGCTTGTATGTAAACGGCCAGCGATCACTGGCCGTTTAAAATCCAGGCGGTTTCCCGCTTGTGCACGCCAGTGGGCGCGGGCACGAAGGACGTCTAAAGACGCCCACCCGCATCCAGGAGACTCCCGTCCGGCCGTCTTTCAACGATCGGCGGACGGGAGGTGGTTAATGTCACTTTAAGGGGCAGTAGACCGCTGGAGTGAAGGGGGATTGAAGCTGCAGGGAGCAGTCTAGCAGCCAGGTGGGGCTGAGGTTCAGGCAACTATAACGTCTTTATTTTAGACCCTGGAGAAAAACAAGCTCTTAACCCTTGCAGTGTGGGGGTATCTCCACAGCACGGGTTAATTTTGTAACTGTCCGGAGTTCAGCTTTAAGCTCTTTGTTTGTGTTTTACAGAATAATACAGAAAGATGTCCTCTTTTCCTTGTATTCCAGGATGTACTCCGGGTAGATCTGGTTTTTCTCAAACACCACAAAGACTGACGGGTTGCGGATGTTGTTCACACAGGAGTCATAACTCTTGGTGTCGTTGGATTTCTGAGGCGGGCGTTGCATTTTGGAATCCCCTACGACAAAGTCACCGACCAGCACACGAGCCACAAACATGGTGCGCCTCCCCTTAGAGGTGGGCGGGGAGTAGTTGTGGGAGTAGGACGCGTCCCTGGCGTAATAACTTCCTGCGTTGGAGAAATTTTACAAATATCAGACTCTGTGGGATAACAAAATGCATCCTCCTCCTGTGCAGAATATTGGGAGCTCCTGCTGCATGGTGTGAACAAAGCTTTATTTTATAGGCTCAGTCCTGTCCCGCTTTCTAAACCTCCCAACTATTCCTCATTTGGAGGGATTGTCCTTTTTTTTTTTGGAACCAGCTTCCTCTGGCCCTCTTTCCTCCTTATTTATCACAATTTTTTGTCTGATGTATAGACCTCTATTACAAAAATTCACTATTTAACTACTTACCAATCAAACATGTTATATTGCACTAAACCTCTAGCAATGAGAAAAGAACTGTTTAACCAATCATATTTTTCGTACTAATTCTTTTTCAAACTAGGGGCGTGGTAGGGGGTGTGTCCCTCTTTCTCATCACAGATAGTTGGATAATATGTCCACTATCATATATTCAGCTGGAGGAGTGTTTGCACACAGGGTGTACTCTTTACATTCTTCCACAGGCTATGAACAGTCAATTATGCACATATTCTTAACAAGTCATAAATGAGCTTTAAAACAAATCCTCACTGATGCAGGTACTGTGGAGCAATATATCCTCAAAATGCACAGCAGAAGCACTGGACTTATGTCCTTCTCTTAGCAACCCAGCAGTGGCTCCTCAGCTCACCCTGCTCTCCCTCCCAGCAGTGGCTCAACAGCTCAGTTCCCCCTGTTCCCCTCTCCCAGCAGTGACTGATCAATTCAATTCCCCCTGCTCTCCCCTCCCAGCAGTGATGCAGCAGCTCAGCACCCCCTTGTTTCCATCTTCCAGCAGTGACTCAGTACTTATCTACTTCCCCTGTTCCCCCCTCCTAGTAGTGACTCTGCACTTTTCTCCTCTCCTCTCTTCTTGTGTTCTTGCTCTGTAATTACATTTGAGATTAGAATGATGGGAGGCTGCTGAATCAACGTTAGGGGTGCATGGGAACTGAGCAGCTGTCCAATCTGGAGTTGAGCTTCAAGACTGACCTTGTCCGTATAGATCACCGTTCATGCCGCAGATACGCCAGTCAAAGTTGTCTCTGCAGATGGCGTCAATATTAGCGCTTTCCGTGGCATGAAACAGCTGGCGCTCATCCACAGCAATACCAGAATTTTTCTCCTTCATCTGATCCTTCTGCCTGAGACACAGGAAGCAACGTAATGAAGTCAGAATTATCCAAGGAAGAAGTACAGTTTCTTTATTTCCTTAAAACAATAAAATAATCTTTTACACTTGCACTGTTTAGCTTTACAATGTAACTCTTATCATTTATATGTTATATGATGAAACCATACCTATATGAACATGCACTATGCTGTGTGCTCTGTTTTCTTTGTCTTACTAATTTTGGTAGTCCGACCTAATTGCCTCTGGTTCTTTCCCAGTGTTTGGCCAGTTTTAGCGAGTGTTTCGTGCCACTGGCTGGTGAATAGCTGGTGTTGCTCTGAACAACACCAAAAACCCGTTGGCTTATACCAGTGACGTGCCGTGCCTTCTGTGCTGGGTGAGGCATCACCCAGCATGCCAAAGCTCTGCCCCGTCCCACCGAAGCTCCGCCCCATTGAAGCTCCACTCCCATCCCGTCAAAGCCCGCCCCCAGCTCAGTAACCAAGCTGTGTGGGGAAGAGGAAGGGAGGAGCCTCCCTGTCCCTCACTTGCTTGTCACTGGTGAGTCACTGGTAAGGCATCGAGATCGATGTCCTCACTGTTTTTTTTTATTGGACAGCTTGGACCAATGGCGCTTTGCCATTGGTCCAAGCCATCCACAGAGCTCACGCCTCTAACACAGTGTAGAGGCTGTTGCAGCTCTTGCCTCACCAAGTTAGGTTACACAAGCAGTGGGGAAGCCCGCTGCTGTGTAACCTAACTATCTGTCAAAAGCTGGATGCAGCGCTGCCTGTAATTAACAGGCAGCGCTCCGTCCATGACAGGTTACACAGTGGGGAGGCTTTCCCTGCTTTGTAACCTGTAACAAGCCGATCTGAATGGAGAAAAAGCGGTCAGCTTCAGACTTGAAGCTGACATCTTTTTTCTTCATAACACTAGGTGAGGCTCTGCCTCCCCTGACCGCACGTCCCTGGCTTATACTGCATAAGGCAGAGAGAAAAGCAGATCAAGTAGCTTTAAGCTGTTATATCTAAGACAGCTGACCATCAGTGCTCAGGGCTTGGGCAAGAACACTGAGTAAGCAGAAGCCTGGGTTTGTGGGAGAGTGGGAGGTCATTCTTTGCAACAGGGTTGAGCCAAATCATGGTAGGGCATCTGCTGTTGGGCAATGTATGTCTGGAGATTATATAAGCAGTTTGATTGAGCAGCAATGTAAGAGACCTACATCATTATTCATTAAGACATACAAATCAGAGTGTATTAATTTAGACAACAGGCAGAAATATTGCCCTGTGTTGGCTTTAGAGAGTGTTGCATGCCCTCGGCAACACCGAGACCCATTGGCTTATACTGTGCCAAACCACTGCAAGAGCTTGATGTGCTTCAACCCTATTTACAGTGCAAATGCAAACTCCCTTGGTGCCATTTTGCCTGCATAAGGCAGAAAGAAAAGTAGATGAAGTAGCTTTAAGCTGTTACATCTAAAACAGCTGACCATGTGTGTTCAGGGCTTGGGCGAGAACACTGAGTAAAAAGATGCCTAGGTTTGGGACTCCTATTGCAGTAGAGTGGGAGGTCATTTTTTGCAACCAGGTTCCTCTGCTACTGGGCAATGTGAATTGGTCGAATAATTCCACAACACTTAACTTGGGACACGAGTGTACACTAGAATAAGTATCGCCAGTAGTGGATACAAAGTAACGGGTGGCATACTGTCAGAAACCAGCTGCTTCCGCGCATGCGCCAAATCCCGGGTCTCGTACTACGCTTGCGCCCTGACGTCTCCTGTTCCTTGTTCTCAGTTCCTGTGATTATTGACCCGGATTGACTTAGACCTTGTTTGCCTGCAGCCTGCCCTTGAGCTCGGATTGTTTGACCATTCTTGCTTGCCAATGCCCTTGACCTCGGATTGCTTTACTGTACTGCCTTTGCCTCCTCGTTTTGTACCTTCTCTGCCTGCTCGGTGTGACCTCGGCCTGTCGACATTGGACTTCGGGATAACCCCAACCCTGCTGCAGAACCAGATATTCGGCTTGCACGGTGATAACACCACTGGCACTCGTGCCACTCTTGTCTGCCAGGACTCTGTCCCCACTACCAGAGTCCTTAGAACACGAGGTGCAAGGGAAGCCTCTTTCCACATCCAGTCTCCACACAGGTACGTGATACATACCCTCTAGGTTTCTGCCTGGGGACAGAAAGCAGACTGCTCAGGTTCTTGAGAATACATTCCCAGAGAGAAGTTGCAGTTTCTGCTCTTCTGTTAAAAGCTGAGAATAAAGAGTTGTTATTGAGCTCTTCTGTGTGTCATGGGTGTCATGTGTGGCCAAAAACATCTCTTACAGTGTGATCTCTCCACAGTTTCCGGACATCCAACAAATACCCCCACTTGGCTTGTGCTCCTCTCCTGGGAAACCTGCTACATCTGTCTTTAGGAATAGAACTATCCCTTGGATCTATGAAGGTAGAACACTGGTTTTTTTTTATTACATAGGGGCTGCTTGAGTCTTAAAGCCTTCCCCCGAGCTCTGTTAATTTGTAATAATAACTGTCAACATACCACTGATAGACCTGCCAGAGGGTGGGGTTCTGAATACGCCATAGTTTCTTCACTGTTTGACCGGAGACTGTCTTACTAAACATTTTGACGATGTTTGAGAACTCTGCACAAGTATTGTCTACAAGAACTGTCTGCAAGTTAAAAAAAAAAAATGTTTTCAGACTTATACATTCATATTTTATCTCAAGTAAGGTTTAGACTATATCTACCTGAAACTGGATGAGAATGTGGTTATATAATTTGACATGAAAATTGGTCTTAGTTGAGTTAATTTTTGAATAAATAAGTGTCCTTTCGGTCATACCTTATAACCAATGTCTGGCATGGCGTTCATGTCCCATTCCGCTGGGTAGTTTGAAGTCCTGAGAAGGGGATTTGATGGCTTTTGTTTTGAACGGCCTGCAGCAGCTTTGATGCTGCAAAATAAAAGCAAAGAATAGACGGGAGCCACCTCAACAATACCTGCTTTATTATTTCAGTATATTCAGATGGTCATTATGATATTTCTGTACTTATTACCTTCCTTTCAACATCTTCACTTTTCTAAAATTCTGGAAAATAGGTCTGCGTCGCACCTCCTCCTCCGTCTTCCTCTGCCTCATTTCTGAAGGTAAAAAAATTATCAGGCTAAAGAGAAAACACTTAAAGTCTTGTCAGGGTACCATGCACAGGCGTCCTCACGCCACATGCAGGTACCCACGCAGGATGACCAAATTAATATGCCCACACAGGATAGGGCTCTATGCACACAGTTTATTTGCTACACATCAACAAAACTACAAACCCCCTCAACCCCCCACAGGTTTAGCAGTGAAGTAATAAACCCACCGTTGGGGCAAACACACACCTACAGCCAGGGGGAAGCAACAAGGAGGGGTAACAGGCCTGCAGATATATGGCAGGCCTCATGATAAAAGAAGAGTGGTCAGGTACATGCCGGGTAGTTAACAGGAGGGCAGCAGCACAGTCCAGGAACAGGATCCAAGAGAGTGGTCGGGTAACAAGCCGGGTCGGTGACAGGTCTGCAGATAGGAAGCAGGGTTCAGGAAGCAGGGTTCAGGAAGCAGGGTTCAGGAAGCAGGGTTCAGGATGCAGGGTTCAGGTTTATGGGAATCAGTCAAGTGCAGGCGACGCAATACTGAGCCAGCTTCCTGACTGCAGGTAGGGCCTAAATACCCTCCCAGGAAGCACCAGGTGATGGGATGATCAGTCACAGCTGGGGCACACCCGCAGGTGAGTACTGGAGCTGCAGGTTCCTTACAGTCCCTGGCTGCTGGAGACACCCGCAGGCGAGCACAGGAACTGCAGGACCTGGCTCCAGCACCACCTGGGGGTGCTCTGGATCCTGACAAGTCTATATCCAGGCATTACCCAACTATACCCCCTAAACCTCCCCTTCTAGATCATGTCCCTGTGTTGCGCATATACAGTCATGGCCAAAAATATTGGCACCCCTGCATTTCTGTCAGATAATGCACCACTTTGCGCATGAAAATTGTTGCAATTACAAATGTTTCGGCATTCTCATGTTTATTTCTTTTGTTTGTATTGGTAAGACACAAAAACAGTTGAGAAAAAAAAAAGCCAAACCTGACACATTCCAAGCAAAACTCAAAAAATGGACTGGACAAAATGTTTGGCACCTTCTCCAAATTGAAAAAGAAATAATTGCATTCCAAGTCTGTGATGCTGCTGTAATTTGTAATTAAACTCACCTTTATCAATTAACAGGTGCTGACAATATAGAAATCAAACCAGCAACCAGTTAAAATGGTGAAAAATTGACTCAACCTTTCTGTTGTCTGTCTCTGTGTGCCACATGGAGCATGGAGAAGAGAAAGAGCAGCAAAGAATTGTCTGAGGATTTCAGAACAAAAATTGTGGAAAAGCATGGACAACCTCAAGGTTACAAGTCCATCTCCAGAGATCTTAATGTTCCTGCGTCCACTGTGCGCAGCATTGTCAAGAAGTTTACAGCCCATGGTACTGTAGGTGATCTCCCTGGACATGGAGGAAAGAGAACAATTGATCAAAGATTGCAACAAAGGACTGTTCAAATGGTGGATTAAGACCCTCGATCAACTTCCAGACAAATTCAAGCTGACCTTCAGGCACAGGGTACAACTGTGTCAGCTCGCACTATACAACTTTGAAAACAGATGTCATCAGCACACCAGCACGACGAAACTTTTAAGTCAGTGCGAATCCATTTATTGATAAATTTGCACTGACTTAAAAGTTTCGTCCTGCTGGTGTGCTGAGGATATCTGTTTTCAAAGTTGTTCTGTGTGCGGTGCCATCCGCATTCATTTCAAGCACCCATCAACACTTTGGGAGTGCTACAAGACCTATGGACATATGAGCTTGCACTATACGTCGCCATCTGAATGAAAAGGAACGCTATGGTAGGAGACCCAGGAGGACCCCACTGCTGACACAGAAACATAAAAAGCCAGATTGGAGATTCCTAAAACTTACCTGAGAAAGCCAAAATCCTTTAGGGAGAATGTGCTGTGGACAGACGAAACAAAATGACAGCTTTTTGGTAAAGCCCATCATTCTATTGTTTTCAGAAAAAGAAATGATGCCTTGAAAGATAAAAAATTCAGTCTCTACAGTCAAACATGGTGGAGGTTCACTGATGTTTTGGGGTTGCTTTGCTGCTTCATGCACTGGATGTCTTGACTGTGTGCATGGCATTATGAAATCTGAAGACTAGCAAAGAATTCTGGGGTGCAATGTAAGGCCCAGTGTCAGAAGATTGGGTCTCCATCAGAGGTCATGGGGCTTACAGCAGGACAGTGACCCAAAGCACACGTCAAAAAGCACCCAGAAATGGTTTCAGACAAAGCGCTGGAGAGTACTGGACTGGCCAGCAATGAGTCCAGATCTGAATCCCATAGAGCAGTGTTTCCCAACCCCCGGTACCATCAAATGGTAGCGGGCCGCACAGTCTCAGTGCGGTCCAGTCCTGCAATATGGGGCAGTGCAGGGTCCCGGTGTCCGAACACCGGGGCCCCGCATCCCCCCTCAGTGGGCCATGGTAAAATTATCAAACGTTGACCGGTCCGCGACGATAAAAAGGTTGGGGAGCACTGCCATAGAGCACCTGTGGAGAGATCTCAAAACAGCAGTTGGGAAAATAAACCCTTCCAATGTGAGAGACCGGCAGCAGTTGGTGAAAGAAGAGTGGTCCAAAATTCCTGTAGAGAGGTGTAAGAAACTTATTGATGGTTACAGGAAGTGATTGATTTTAGTTATTTTTTTCCAAGGGCTGTGCTACCAAATATAAATTCAGGGTGCCAATAATTTTGTCCGGTCCATTTTTGGAGTTTTACTTGGAATGTGTGAGATTTGCACAATACTAACAAAAGAAATAAACATGAGAATGCCTAAAAAATTGTAATTGCAACAATTTTACAATTTTCTGTGCAAAGTGGTGCATTGTCTGACTGAAATGCAGGGGTGCCAATAATTTTGGTGGCTACTGACAGAGAGCTGGTTTCTCACAATGGAGGGTGCCTTCTAAACAGACCAAATTGATAATGGTATGGCTGCGCTGTATTGTTTCCCTATTATTCGTATCCAGCTATTATACAATGGCATACTGTTAGGAGGAAACTTTGTGTAAACAAGCACGCCTAGGCTAGTCAAGGCTTATTCACCATTGACTACTGATGGCAATTCATGATGCAACGCTGCCACCTAGAGCTGTAAAAAGTGAAATACAGGTTGCATAGGCACTGATACAAGTCTTGAGGGGTTTCACTTTGACCAAGGAAAGGACATAACGGCCAACAAAGGACTTTGAGAGAGACTGGAACCAGAAGCCATTTTCCTGAGAACGCTTAATTGCCACGATATCCTGTTCGAAGAAGGAATTTGCAACTGGAAGCTAAATATTTTAGTGTTTCCATTCTTAGATAACCATTACATGCACTAGAAAGGATAGTAAGTAGGTGCATGTGTATGTATGTTTGTTTGTAGAAGCCTGTATGTATGTTTGATTTTTCTTTAACTAAGTTTGTGCATGCTGCATTTTTGCCAAGTAATGTACTTTAAATGCTACTAGGTCAGTTTCCTTGAGCTTTACTGCAAGAACAGACAACAAAATAGAAATTAAAGTTTTGCCAAGCAGTACATTTGGGCTCGTCCTTTGGATAAGCTTTATATTTTGGTCTTTGGCATCTGTAGTTCCAAAGGAAAACATTTGGGGCTTAGTCCGGGATCTGTAGTTACAAAGCAAACATTTGGGGCTCAGCCCGGGATTTGTAGCCAAGCAAAACAGTTCCAGCATTCGTTTTTTCTTTTACCCTGCAGTGAGAAACATTTTTTATGCATCCCTGTGAAATCATCACCAACCTTGTAAAATTCCCGCAGGAGCAGATCCTAGGAGGTCAGCTCCTTATGTCATGCTCCCAGAACTTAATCCCCCTTTAGCCCTTTACCTATATAGCGTATGGGCTGGATCTTGGGAGTCAAGGCAGCAGCAGTATTGTTTTGGTGGGAAAGAAATCAGTGTATGCATTTGGGGAGTGACAGAGATTAATAGGGATAAGTGGAGTATTGTAGTCTAGCAGGGTAGAACTGGGTAGGTAGGACAATACTGGTAGAGATTTTATTCAGTGGAGGCACAGCGTAGCCAGCCCAGACAGGAAGCTAGATTTCTTGATAAACAGGTACTTTCACGCACTTGCAACCTTTTTAAAGGCATAAAACATGGTGAAATGCGTGCGGAATATTTTTTTTTAATTTTGTCTCATTTACACCAGTGCGCTGCAGTACCATTTTTCTGAATGGCACCATAGCTACACATGGTAACGCACTACAGTGCAGTGTGCGCTGCTCTGAAGGGAATGGCACATACATAATTTTTGGTCTCTAAGACTCTAAGGCCCCATTCACACTTAAAAATGGGGCAGATTGCATAAGTCCTAAGAACTGAGACTCATGCAAACAGCTGCAGAGGGAGGTGCTGTACAACACAATGACAGCTGACAGCACCCCCCGCTGTTCACAGCTGTTTGCATGTAATCACCCATGTGGGCAATTGCCCCTGAATACAAGCAGTCTGCATTTTGTGGTGATCATCCACAGGTAATCGCAGCATGTGCATGTCAAAGTCTCACAGAGCAATGCAATCCGTCCCATTCGCAAGTGTCCTTTAACTTTGACTTGTTTGAGGTAGAGAAAGGAAGAGATGAAATTCGAGAGCTTAGGGCTGCCGTCATAATTACGGAGACCATGGAAACTAGGGATGCACCGATACCAGTATCCAAGTGTGGTGTATGTATTGTTTTTTAGAGGAAACTGTCCCAAAACACTAAAAAAAAGAGCTATCTATAATTGGTATCAGTGAGTACTTGGGGAAAAGTTTCGGTACTTGAACTCTTAAAAAGTATCAGTACTTTTGGTCTTTAAAAAATGGTATTGGTGCATCCCAAATGGAAACCATGAATACCTATTGCTCTGTCACTCTACAGCTACTGTATGTGCTATAAAATGATTTTCTGCTTAATACACAGGTGCATTTTGCTTGTCTCTTATGAGTAAGGTGGTGGTCACCTTGGCAGTTGATGATGTAGTTCCGCTTTCCAGCAGTGAACGGGATGGTCCCACCGGGGTTATGGAAGTAAATGGTTTCCAAGTCTGATGAACAAATGGAGGAACTCGCGTTCTTTGTGTTCTAGAAGAGAAAGGTGACAGTCATTGAATTGTATTGTGAAGCACATTTATACATTCAGACAGCCTTAATGTAGGATATACAGTATATCTTTGGAATGTATTATTGATTGCTCTATAGATTAAACCAGTATTGACACAAAGTTGTTATATTAGTTGGTTGGTTGTAGCTATTAAGATGAAACAAAAGTAGTTTTTTGGTTAAAGTGACCTTGTACGACTTTCAACTGCTTTACCTATATACTAGCAATGTTTTGTTTGGTGTGCACTGCCTATGGTGCATGTATGACCATGTACACTCTCTCTCCACTTTTGCCATCTGTTAGATCCTGGAATCTGGGATAATGTAACTCGAATGTGCAGTCACATTATCAGTGGCTTCCTAATGGCTGAAGGGAGATGATATCGGTTCACAAGACATGATGAGGAAGCTGGTACCAGTAACGGTACCAGCAAGAGCTTCAACTGCCTTCCCCAAAACAGTTTCACTTCAATGTGTCCCTGTCACCACAGGGTCACTTACGTACACCTTGCAGGCGAGAGAAGAGGCGGAAATGTCTCTACTGTTAAAAAAAGCAGTTTCTGAAAGCACTGTTTGAACTAGATTAGGGCCCTCTTATTTATAGAGTAAGAAGCCAGCAGCTTCTAATACAAGACAGAACGGGTAGAGACATTTTTCAAGATTAGCATTTGTTGATAGTAATTTAAAAATGTTTAATTTTTATCCTTAAAAAATGTTATGGCTATTTTCTTGTAATACTATCCCTGCCTTTGACACAAAGCTAAAAGTGTATTATTTGAAAGACAACAACTTTTACAAAGCCACAATAGGACAGGGAGAAACCAAGCAGGTTCATACTTAACCCCTTCATGACTGAGGCCTTAAACAGAGTCCCGGCGGCAAAAGTCGCCGGGAGTCTGTTTACACAGCCCCGATGCTGGCGACGTACACGTACGTCGTCAGTCACGAAGGGGTTAAGAAATGAAAATAAGAGTGCATTATTTCACATAAAGAAGTGACATAAGACATAGTGACATATTGGAAAGACTCAATGCACACTATGTAGCCAGCTTTAGTAGGCCGCAGTTTAGGAGGGAGACACCAGGCAGGTTTTAATCAAGAAATCAAAATTAGAGTGTATTATTTAGCTGAAAAAAGACTAAAATATTGTACTGACTCCATAAACAGTATACAGGCACCTTTAGTAGACCATATTTTAAACAGGACACATACCAGTCAGTTTTTTTAAATTATTATTATAATATTACAATTATTATTGTAGTGACTATGTGCACAATATTTAAACACTTTTACTAGTTCCATTTTGAATAGTACAGACACTAGCCAGCTTTCCATCAAAAAACAACATTAAAAATGTCTCTGAATTGAGAAAGCTGGTCGGATGTCCAGTGAAACGTCTTCAAGAAAAATACAGCAAGTCCAGTTGCTTTGACTTATTATTTACACATATACCATGACCTGGATGAATGAGAACCTTCACAGACAACATTAAAAATATTTATTTTGCTGAAAAAAGGCCATTGAAATATTGTAGTGAGTTTGTGCATAGTATTTAAGCACTTGTACTAGGCTGCATTTTAAACAGGACTAACACCAGCCATTAAAAAAATTCAACATTAGAGTATATTTATAAACACATGTAAACCGCTGGGACTCTGTTTAAAGGGGCATGCTGCCAGCGAGGTATAACATACGTTGGTGGCAGTGAGAGGGTTAAATTAAAAGCTGGCTGATGTGGGTCCTGTTGAAAAAGCAATGTGGTTCAAGTGTGCAAAGACTGTGCATGTACTCACTAAAAGATTTTATGTTATGTTTCTTTTCAGCAAAATAAATACACTCTGATAATTTTTTTTCTTTTATTCAAAGCCAGCTTGTGTGGGTCCTGTTGAAGAAACAGCCTAGTGAAAGTGAAATGTCTATATTTACATTGAGTCACAGACACATTGGGGGAAATTTATCAAAACTGGAGAAGAAAAAAACTAGAGCAGCTGCCCTTGTCAACCAATTAGCTTCTCACTTCAATTTGTTCAGTTAAGATTTGAAAATGAAAGAGAGAAGCTGATTGGTTGCCATGCACAGCTGCTACAGACTTTGTCTGCTGTATAAAGCTGAGGGACATTCCTTCACTGCAGTGTAGGTAGAGACTACACTGTCACAGTGGCTAGCTCCAAGGATTGAGTGAGTATCACTGTTTTTTCCTCCCTAGACCAAAACGAGCACTTAACCCTTGCAGTGAGGGGGTAGCCCCACTGCAAGAGTTAATAACAAATCAACTTGAGTGTAGCCCCAGGGTTAAAATAGTCAAACTAGAAAAAAGTGGTACATGCATGAATCTATAACCAGCCTTTATAGCAGGGAGCACATTGGGAAGGCTTCTAGTTTGACTATTTTTGGTTTGGGGGATGCACTGGGGTCCCAGCGTGCATTTTTGGTTGCTGGGCCCCCAGTGCGTCCCTGCACCTTATTAGGAGGAGTAGGCTACCTCCAGGTACACCTGCATGCAATCTATCGACTTCATTAATATGCTCACACTTGGAGACTCAGATACATAGAGTTAGGACCACACTTTGCAGAGGTACCTTGGCGCGACAGTGTGGCTTCTACATATTTTTGGCCAAAAGTTTGTGCAACTAAAACCTTTGATTTTAACGCATACTGTTGACAGGGCTACTTGTTTGGTTGCAGGCTGGCTGGCAGGTTGAGGCCGGGGAATTTTTGTGTTTTGTATTGCATTTTTAACAGGACTCACACCAGGCAGTTTTTAATTTTAAAAAATCAATATTAGTAGACATTAAACCGCAAACCATTATTATAGCCTTACTGAAAGCAAAAAAAATTAAAACATGAAATAAAAAAGTACCCCCCAAAAAAAGCTGTCCAGCAGTCAACAGCAACTAACACACAAATATATTTCTCCCTGCAAACACTCTGTAATTTTCCTTAATCTGCAACAGGACTGTCCGTCACACGGTGTAGCTGTAACACAATGTAAATATGTATGTTTTCGGCAATTACCAGCTGCATCTAACTCTCCCTGGAAAGACAATGGGGAGAATGTATGAAAACTGGAGCAGAGAGAATCTGGAGCAGTTGCCCATGGCAACCAATCATCATCTCTCTTCAGATTGTTCAATTAAGCTTTGTAAATTAAAGATAGAAGCTGATTGGTTGCCATGCAATCTGCTCCAAATTTTGTCTGCTCCGGTTTTGATAAATTCCCCTTAATGAAAGGAACTTACTAAGACTATAATTGCTACTTCTAAGCCACCTGACCTCAGTTCAGAGGGCGGGTAGTGCATTATTGGAAATTTGGTTGCCATAGTTGCAAACGACCACATTCATTTTCTCCAACTGTTAACTACTTTGGTTCAGGTTCTGTTAATGGTCTACCCAAACCCAAAGCTCATTTGCCATTTGCTTTTATGTTCTCTATCTCTAATTGAATCTTCTGATAGCCACCTGAACACAGCAGAAATAATCCTTTTAATAAAATGATAATAAAGTAATAATAATTTCACTTACAGAATGCTCACACTTGGTCCAGGTGCCAAACTCATCCTTCCAGTACCAAATCCACTCAGTGGTCAGAACATATTCCTCCGGTTGATTGACCGATGACGGGGTGGAGAGTCTGCGGACCTGCTTATCACCAGCTTTCATGGTCTGGAAATCAACTGATCTGTAGCTGTGATAAAAAGAAGGAGGCAGCTGCTGACCAGGAAGTGAAGAGATCTTCCCAACAGGAAAACCAAAATCTCACAATGGTGAGATGTCCCTGGAGTATTTTGTGTCTCTGCCCCTCCCACAATGGAAGGATTTCCCTGCAGTATTTTGTGTCTCTGCCCCTCCCACAATGGTGAGATTTCCCCCCAGTAGTTTGTGTCTCTGCTCCTCTCACAATGGTGAGCTTCCCCCCAGTAGTTTGTGTCTCTGCCCCTCCCACAATGATGAGATTTCCCCCCAGTAGTTTGTGTCTTTGCCCCTCCTACAATGATGAGATTTTTCAGCAGTAATTTGTGTCTCTACCCCTCCCACAATGATGAGATTTTCCCCCAGTAGTTTGTGTCTCTGCCCCTCCCACAATGGTGACATTTACCCTTAGTAGTTTTATTTACCTAATAAAATTAGCATTGTGTAAACTAGGGATGCACCGATACTTGTAGTCATTACCTGCCCCACGGCTTCCTGATTGGCCAGGAAGCCGTCTCCATGCTCCCTCGTCACCAAGTGACGAGGGAGCATGGAGACAGCTTCCTGGCTAATCGGGAAGCCGGGCGCTGAGTCATTACACGCCGCCCGGCTTTCGTAATGGGACTTCCGGCATCGGTATACGGTATCGGCAAGTATAGGTGAAAAAAATACCGGTACTCGATACCGAAAAACCAGTATCGGTGCATCCCTAGTGTAAACCAGGATTTAATTTTACATTCTGACCCCACAGACTGAGGGGCTCCTACCTGGCATTGTTAGGATCACTATAAGCCATTTCAATGTCCTCCATATTTTGAAAGTCGGCCCATTCACTTCCATTAAACTCTTGCCAGCGGTATGGTAAGTAGTAGTGCATATTGGGGCACGTATCTGTCAGCCAAGAAAAACACTGACTATTATCTCTGGCACAATAATATTCCAAATCTCATATTTTTAGACTCAATTCATCGTGCTATACATGATGTTTTCTTAGTCATAACAATAGTTATATGCAGCTATGTGACTGCTATTTCAACTGTCACTGTGAATAATAACAATTGTTATGATTTAGTAGAAGCTTAGTGAATTGAGCCATACGTTGCTTAATTGTATTTATTCTCATTTACCTCCCAGCTTGCAAAACTTCCAAATATAAGTGAGGCAAATTTCTGGTGTTTTCTCTGTCGACACTAAAATGAAAGCACAAGGGAAGAAAAAAATTGGTGATTTTGATATTTGAAATACTGATTATTATTTAAAGAGAAGAAATCTTCCCCCGGCAGCAATTACTTTGCATCACTAGATACCCTCACTCTTCCAGGGTGCAATGATGCTGGATGACTGGAAGACTGAAGACATACTGTGAGTGCAGGGTACCCTAAGGTGGACCTCGCATTAGCTCTATGCACTCACCATATAATAATGCAGAGAGCAGCATTGATGTTGTGAAGTCAGTGCTGCTCTCTGCACCATCGAGGACTGTCCACAGCCCAGGGAAGAGACAGAAGACCCAGCATATCTGGAAAAAGTAAGTGTAGCCTCAGGGTTAATTATACCTGTCCAGGTCTTGTGTGGCAAAGGGACTTGTGGGGTTAGTAGTGTGGAGAAAGGGAGAGACAATGTTAATTCAAGCAGATAAAACTACAGCTCCCAGGAGACTTTACAGTCTGGGGGAGGTATGGACTCTGCCCCCTCTGGGAGCAGGAGGGGAACATCCGAGACACTGGAAGTGACAGGGCCTCCTGCTGATTTATCATCCCAGGGAGAGTGAGAGACCTGGTGGTGATCACCACTGTAAGTGCTGAGTAATAGCTGAAAAGTACAGCTTCTAACCAGCTTGGTTAAACCCCACAGAGCCCTGGTGAGATACCACAGGGCTCTATATGGTCTCCCCGGGGCTTTGCTGGGTCTCACCAAGGCTCTGTGGGGGGCCTGGAGTATAAAGTTGGGTTCAACATAGTCCTTTTAAAGGAAAGTTCCCATTCAGTAAATGCTGTGTGCCTGGTTGGTAAGCTGACACTTTTGATTCAAAACTTGAATTCACTGTCCCAAAACAAGAACAATTAACTAGCATTCCAACAATTTGACTTATTGATTTTGGGGCTGCTTAGGGTCCTTTCTGCCACATGCTGATGCCTTGGCCCAGGCATCTTGCAGCACAAAGACTTCCTCCAAGGGAGAAGCCCCATGGGAGATAGAGAGTTCTGGCAGGTGTTCCAAAATATTTATCACCTTCCTCCAGCCAAACCTCAGGGATTGGCCAGTGAGCCTGCTCAGGGAATGGTCAGAGCCAGATGCATTTTCATAATCTGAGTATTGATCCTCCCGCACTGTATGCTGAGATCCCAACCCAGCAACAGGTAGAATCAATCAATCCACTCGACCTATGCTGGGCACACACCTTACAACCATCGCAAGACTTTTGTTTTGCGATGGTTGTAAGGTACTTTAAAAAAACGTACGATCTGCCCATCTTAGACAGGCAGATCGTACTTGCGATGATCGCAAGCCGCTCCCCCCCGAGGGGCGGGCTTCCGATGACCGCAATGCCGAACAGGCAGTGTGCGCCCGTTCGGCATTGTGGCCGGCCCAGCCCGGCTTTTATCTTACGAACATGTTTGAAAACCCGCCGAGCATCGTACGGTGTTCGGCAGGTTTTCGAACATGTTTGTAAGTTAAAAGTCGTGCGACCTTACAGTAGTAGAGGTCGCACGGCTTCCACACACCTTACGATAATCGTACGATCGTGGGATTTCCCGCGATTATCGTACGATTAGCGCAAGGTGTGTGGGGACCTTTAGGGAAACCTGCAGATCTCAGAGCAATCAGCACCCAGACTGATTACAGTCTAGATATAACACTAAATTTAATAGCAACATAGCAGAGGGCACTACACATATAACTTCAAATGAATATGGATGTGAATCTACTTGTCATGTTGACATTCGGTTTTCACTAAACACAGAATGTGCATTTAATTTCTTGTATGTTTAAACTGGGAGGTTCCCAGGTGTTTTATATACCTTATATGATAATTAGAGTAATATCAGTACCTTCATTTTTTCTTTCCATGCTACTGCCGTCTGAGTCCTGAGAATCATCTCTTTTTCTTGGCCTTCTTCCCCCTATGTCTCTTGTCTTGTGTCGAGCCTCCCTGGCCTCATTATTAGCCACCCGTCGAGGTACCTGGTGCCTCTCATCGTGTTTCAGATCGCAGAGCATCTGGAAGTTCTCGATGGTCATTTGGCTCATCCAACGGCATTTGAGCATTATTTTGGATTCCAGCAGATTGTGCGATTTATCACAGAAATAGCTGTAGCAGGATCCTCCCGTGAAGTATCTGCACATGTGGAGACGCTTGCAATCCTCTCCTTGGTCACAGCTGTCATGGACATATTTTGGACAGTCCTGGAAAGGAATAGATATCAGGGGTAGAATTAGTACAACTGTAATAAATATTGGATAGAGGTCATTATTCTGCTAAAGTAGATGTAACCCTAACCGGATGACATTTAGTTTGTTCTGTACACTTTTTTTCAGCCTTTTCCCCATCTCAGTGCTGCTGATTTTCTGCAGCTTCTTCTCTCTACATGCACTTGCTGCAGTGTCAGCTTCACATGATCTGGACATCACACCCAAAGGCATCTAATGCAGTGCAATGAGTGTTGTACGGTAGTAAGAAAACTATTCTGCGGTTTCATTGTAAACTGTTATGTCCTGCGTGGGCAGGTTAGGCCTTGTTCACACCACCACCACGCGTCCGATCGCACTGCGAGTGGGGGGGGGGCGTGGAAGCTGTGCCATTGAATTCAATGCACCGCCACGCCCACTCCCACCCCAAAAAGCGGGGGGAAGTTTCTCAGCGATCGCGGTGCGTTCCAGCAGCTGCCGCTCTGGAACGCACGCGCTTTTGGTGTAAACAAGGCCTTACTGCCTGTTAACAGCCGCACATAAACGCAACACAGCAGGAGGTTGCATGGCATACTGTCCAAGCCAATGCACGCAGATCCTTAGATTCAGGTATTGACACATCATACAAAATTATTTTGTGGAATACAAAACAAACAACACAAAGTATGCAAACCTTCTACAGTAGCAGATGGCAAGCACTCTTTGTTTGCAAGAATACATTGTCTTGGCTTAACCTGCTCCTTCCAAAATGCTCCTTCTTCCGTATAGACAGGGTCCAATGCTTTCTGCTACAACAGGATCTTGAATAGATTGCCTCATGATAACTTCAAAATATCATCTTTATAAGGAACTTACAATCTAAGACTAATGACTTTAGCAGCCAATGAAACGCAAGCTTTTAAAGCTAACCTCAAGCCAGAACTCTTTTATTTTTGCTGGGGAAATCAAGGGGTGACATACTTCCCTCTACCTTTCCCCCCACTCATGGTTTACCTTCCTTTTGTCCTTTGCCACTCTAATTGCTGGGACAAAAAGGAAAGACCCTCTGCACTAAATTGATATGGTCAGAGTGTGTCCAATGCTAAGACCTGACCGCAGAGGCCAGCCCTGGTGTCTAGTGGTTGGTTGCTCTGGCACTCTACTCTGCATTGTGGGGTGTAATAGAGAAGTATCACCTGAAGTACCACATATTTCACTTGCCAATGAAAGGTGAGTATCAGCAATTAGGTTCCTTTTATAGAAGAAGAGTTAGTATGCCTATCAGTGTGGCCTGCGGCAACTCCGATCATTGACCAGAGCTGCACGGACTACAGAAGTGTAGTATCAAGCATACTTCCAGGTGTGCCGGAAGCATTTGCCTCCTCTTTACAGCTCCAAAGAGACACCTCAGTGACATGGCAGCCAGCAAATTAAACCACAGTGCACAACGGGGAAACTCAGACATGCAATGGGTTGGATCCTAAAGATTCTTTGGCTGGTGAAGCCCCACAATAATGAAGACTGGAGTCACTGGCTAGGGGACTGGAGCGACTGGCCAGAGGAATGGAGTCACTGACAAGAGGACTGGAGTTATTGGCCTGAAGACTGGAGAGGGTGGCCATAGGACAGGAGTCACTGGCCAGAGGACTGGAGTTATTGGCCAGAAGACTATAGTTACTGGCCAGAAGACTATAGTTACTGGCCAGAGGACTGGAGTTACTGGCCAGAGGACTAGAGTCACTGGCCAGCGGATTGGAGTTACTGGTCAGAGGACTGGTGTCACTGGCCAGCAGACTGATGAATATTATTAATTCTTTTTGGGTGATGGAGTCACTTTAAAGAAACATTTCACTCCTTTGCTGATATGTACCCGCTAATAGAATTAGTAACAGTTGGTATGTCCTGGACACACCCCGTCGGCGTATAGTTTTGGTAAACAAACAACAACTTTCTTCGGTGATGTATAATAGTTCATTGACAGGGCTGGGTCTCCCACAGACGTAAGTGGCCCTGCTTTTGAGGCAAATAAATAAAACTCTGGCAATCGTCATGGAATTATATTCATGTAGACAGGAAGATACTTAATATGCCAGTATACAAATAAGAAGGTCAACAGGTATATGACTCATTTTAAGCCGTCTATTGGAAAGTGACAACTGACAGTTCATCTTTTGTGTCAACAAGCCACACAGAGGCAGATTTCAGAAAGTGAAGCACCTGCCCTGCCCTTGATCACATTGCTTCACCAAAGTCTTCCTTTAGACTGAGTGAATAGGAAGCACATGCGGGAAAGCAGTTCTTTCCTTTTCTTTATAGAAACTTTTCCCTTAACATTATTCTGCATAGGAGGGAGCAGTGGGTGCACACTGGGACAGGGGGGAAGATCCATGTACTATGAGGGCTTCTGACATTTTCTTTGTGCTTACTCCTGCTTCATATGGAAGTCCTACACAACTAGATCCACTCCTTGACAATGCAAGTGATGCTTATATTGCGTATAAAATTGCTACACAAGCCATTTTGCAATTCATTGTTATAAAAATGTACTTTTTCAGTCTAAAGCCGCTGTAATTTTTTTTAAACTGTTCAAAGCATTTAATACAATATGGTTACCTGGAGGCATTCTGTACACATATGGTATGGAATGCTCCCAGAAATGTAATTTCATGCTGGTGTGATGGGCTCACTGATTTTCCCAGAAGCCTGCACTACAAGTAAAACTTTAGATATCCCCTGCAATAGGGATTTGGTAAGATACTCCCAAAAGGGTTATCTACATCTACAAGGATGCAGACCCTGCAACTTTCCTCATCAGAACTCATATAAAAGAATAAACAATACTAAATGGGGCTTTTAATGTGTCATCTGCAGAATGTAAAGGAACACAACCAGACATATGATAACTAGAGGGGCACTGAAATGGAAATTTCAAAACCGAAATAAAAAAAATTGTGAGGCCGAAACCGAAATTGTTTTTTATTTACATTTTTTCAAATTTTTCAACTATTTTATTTGTATTTATTTTTTATAAACTTTTTATTTTTTATATTTATTTTTATTTTTGAATTAAATTTTTATTAAATATTTTAATGTTTTACTTGACTTTTAGGGGCTTTGAGGAAATATTAGGGGTCTAAACACTGATATTTCCCTATTAAAATAGAAAAAGAGATTGAGGACACAAAGTCCTCTATCTCTTTTTCTGTATCCCCTGTTATCAATGAACAGGAATCCTCTATGAGTGTTCCTGTTCATTCATAACATGAGAACAGAGTATGTTTACTATAACTACAATCATGAATGAACAGGAGGTGATGTAGAGGGGATGTAGATCACTTCCCATTCATTTATAATTGAGGATATAGTAACCATACTCTGTCCTCAATTATTTACAAACACTGTAAACACTGAGTGTTTGTACCTCGCTCCCATCTCTGACAGCTATCACAGGAGGCTGAGCGAGCGGTGCAGGAGTAGAGCTCAGCCTCTTGTGACAGTGCGGGCTGTCTCCGCCCACACCGCGCTCTGTGGACTGTGACAGGAGGCTGAGCGGTGTGGAGGAGAGACGCTGGCCGCTCACGGCACTTTCCTCCCGCAGCGCTCGGCCGGCTGTTACACTTTCTCACCTCCCCGCTGGGACACAGAGCAGCACCCAGCGGGGAGGAAAGAAAACAGAGATGCGCCGATGTATGGCTAAATGCCGAAAGTGCCATTTTCGGCCGATATGTTTCGGCCGATATTTGGGTGCATCCCTAATAATAACAACTCATAAATCACATGTTTGAAATAATTTAAAATTACATCCTATTTCAAAACATAGAAAATGTACATATAAAAAATATTTAAAAAATATGTTCCCCACCCTCTCTGTCTCCTGGGTGGTGAGGGACGTTCCCTGGATGTGTGGACTCATTCACCACTAAGCTCCCAGAAAATGGTATCTATGTATTTATATTGTGTTGTGGATGTCTATTTAAGTTTTGAATGTTTTGTTAGTTGAGTTTACTTAGATGTAACCACTTGTGTATTTATTTACCATGTAAATATTATAGCTTGCCCCTGATCTTCCTGAAGAAGCTTTAGCGAAACGCATAGAAGGCTGGATCCATTACACATTTATAAAGGACCTGATGATGAACATGATGATCAATGAATATGTTTAGTGTACTGTTATGAAGAAATTGGTGATAAAAAGAGTGTAGAGTTGATATCCGCCCACCCGCCCGTTGTAAATAAACGGACAGATGGCAAGCTCACTATGGGGCGCCGTAAGTATAAATTTTTTCCTGCTCACGAGCGCTCCTGCGAACAGAAAACACTGCTACTTGTAAACAGCCTTTAACAGCTGTTACATAAAAGTGCTCGGGCGGCTCTGTAGCCATCTGTCCGCTTGTACGGTGCCCACCACCCC